ACATTCCCAGACTTCTGTTGCTTCTAGCCACACGTCAGGCTCCTGCTCACAAACCCTAAACCCTAAACCCTAAACCCTCATAAACCCTAAACCCTCATAAACCCTAAACCCTAAACCCTAAATCCTAAACCCTGAACACATTCCCAGACTTCTGTTGCTTCTAGCCACACTCACAAACCCTAAACCCTGATAAACCCTAAACCCTGATAAACCCTAAACCCTGATAAACCCTAAACCCTGATAAACCCTAGATTTTGTGTATTACCAGTAGAGTATCATAATAATATTTTTTATTGGGGCTGACGTGTTGCTGCATGCGGCAGAAAAGAGAAGAAAGCTCATCGTTGGAGAAACCCGTGCCCGCCTTGCATGCGCTTTGGTAGCTCTCCGTCTCGGGGTCAAATACAGCCAACAAGTAAGCCCCAAACACCCCGCTGCGTTTGCCCTGATTCACAAACCCTAAACCCTCGTAAACCCTCGTAAACCCTAGGCCCTAAACCCTAAACCCTAGGAAAGACAGGGAGTGATTTGTATGCGCTCTGGTAGCTCTCCGTCTCGGGGTCAAATACAGCCAACAAGTAAGCCCCAAACACTCCACTTCTTTTTCCCTGATTCACAAACCCTCGTAAACCCTAAACCCTCATAAACCCTAGGGTTTTATAGAAATGATAGAGTGGGTTGCATGCGCTCTGGTAGCTCTCCGTCTCGGGGTCAAATACAGCCAACAAGTAAGCCCCAAACACCCCGCTACGCTTGCCCTGATTCACAAACCCTCGTAAACCCTAAACCCTAAACCCTCGTAAACCCTAGGGGTTTATAGAAATGATAGAGAGTGGGTTGCATGCGCTCTGGTAGCTCTCCGTCTCGGGGTCAAATACAGCCAACAAGTAAGCCCCAAACACCCCGCTACGCTTGCCCTGATTCACAAACCCTAAACCCTCGTAAACCCTAAACCCTAGACCCTAAACCCTAGGGTTTTATAGAAAAGACAGGGAGTGATTTGTATGCTGTTTTCTGCGTTTCTTTGGGGGGATCAAACATCCTGCTCCGCTTGCCCTAATTCACAAACCCTAAACCCTCATAAACCCTAAACCCTCATAAACCCTCACAAACCCTCGTAAACCCTCGTAAACCCTCATAAACCCTCATAAACCCTCATAAACCCTCATAAACCCTCGTAAACCCTAAAACCTTGAAATTCAGATCCTTTGATATTTATATATGAATATATGTGTTGTACATAAAACTATAAATGTGTAAGCCAGGTATTCACACACACAAACCCTAAACCCTAAACCCTAAACCCTTGAAATATATATATATATATATATATATATATATATATATATATATATATATATATATATATATATATAT